CCTTCTGATGGTTTTCTTCCACTGTAGCATGGCCTCCACCCATTGATCTGTTGCCAGTTTGGCTCCCCATTGATGTCCACCCACCCTTCCCTTCTGCCAATTCCAGCAGCTGCTGGATGAGGTTCTTGGCCTCTCCTGTGAAGCTCACCCAGCCCTCACAGCCTCTCCTAGCCCTGCAAGGCACCAGATGTTCCCTAGCATCCCACTGCTCTGGCCAGGGCTCTTGTCCTGGTTTGCAGAGCCTACTTTCCTTGTGGAGCACCACTGATCCATGCAAGACTTCTGACTTTCCCAAATGCTCCCCAGACATTAATCCCCCCTGTTCTCAAAACAGAAAATGGGCTCCATGTGGTGACCACATCTCTGCTTGTCCTTGGCCTCTCCATCCCACCCCACCTTGTTTTTGGGAGGACCTGATGAGTTCCTGTAGCTGTGGAAATTGTCTGTGAGAACATTTAAAATGCCTCATGGAAGCATCAGGATTCTGGACTTCCAACCATGTGTTTGGTGGGAGCTGAGCTCTCCAATCCATAGGGATGTTACCTTTGCCCCTAGATTTTTGCTGTTTCCTTCTTCAATAGCTTTGAGCATCCTGATATCCCCAAACCAGTGGTTTTCTACCTTCACACAACACTTTGTACATTTCCTCTCACTTTTTTCCTTTTAATTTCACTTTTCCCAAATGCATTGGCATCAGCACTAGGGAGGATGGAGTTAATTTCCCAGGAAAGACCTTTTATCACGCTGTGGATGAACCAGTAACTGCCCATGTCTTTGATGCTTCTGCCCTGCTGGCAGGAGAGGGGAAACACTTCCAAGCCTCAAGGATTCTGCTTGGCCTGGAGAGAAGAGAGGCAGATTTAACTCCAGACCACGAGGAGCAGCTTGTTCTCACTGAGCAATAACAGGAGATTAACTCCCAGTGCTTGGGCACACTGGGTTGTCCTTTTGGTCACCTCCTGAGGCAAAGACATTGCGTGCCACAGCACAAAGAGGGTGCTTTGGGCACCTAATATTTTTGGGATCTGTATTAAGCCCCATCCAAACTGGGACTATTTGGCAGCTCTCTTGGTGGGGAGAGATGTCAACAGGACATCACCCTTGGAGATTTGTCCTGCAAGACCTGTTTGTGTCCTGATGTTTTTGACACAAAGATGGTACTGTTGCTGGGGAAGGAAATGAGATCTCGGTGTCACATAGGCTGGATATGATTAGAAGTTGTTTTTTGCAGCAGCAAAGCTGACCTGAAGGTTCAGGAATATTCCAATACATTTTGGGATAGTGGGATATATCCAAAGCAAGGAGATGCATGTCCTCAGGGGACAGAAAAGTTTAGGGTGATGTTGGCAGTGAGCAGCTGAGGGAGGGAAGGTTGTTGCTCAGTTAAGAGTGATTTGGAGCTGGCTGTGATGGGAAGGGTTGGGGTTGACTCTGGTGGAGATATCCAAGATAGATGCATTCAGCATGGATTCAGGGATAATTAGATCCATCCAGCATGTTACACTGAGAGGGGTTCAAAGGGCCTCTTAGATGTTCTGAGCACATCTCTTGAGTTGCCAGTCTGCTTTCTGTTGTTCATTATGCCCTCTTTGATGTCTGAAAATCCCTATTATTTCACGGTCAATTTGCTGCTTTTTTTCTGAGGCCAGTATTGTCTCCAGCAAAGCTCAGTTCTGTAGGCTTTAATTAGGCAGCTCAAGCCCTGCCATCATCATCATCCTCCAGTGTGGCACAGCCAGAGGGTGCTGATGATGACTATGAAGATGCTCCCTGAGCACTGCTCAGGCCCAGGGCAGGGTGTCCTCCAAGGAACTCATGCCCTCCTGCAGCCCTGACCTTCTGCTTCAATCCCACCCAGTATAACCCACTTGCAGCACTGGTGGTACAAACTCCAGCCTTTTCATTACAGCCTTTCAGCAGCAGTTGAACGTGGAAGGCACTGGGTGTTTTTATTGCTGTTGAATGCAGGGGAAAACCAAGAAGCAGAGGGCTGATGTGGCTTGTTCCAAGTTATGCAGTAAATAAGCAGCACAGATGGGAAAAACCCAGGGTCTTCAGAGTCCCCACTGTCCCCACTAGATCAGCCTGCCTCCCAAATGTTTACTAAAGAGACTGGAGTCTGATTGTTTTTACTTTATTTTTAATTTTTAGACACTTCCCTCTTCAGACTGTTTTGCCTGTTCCACAGTGACCAGTATTTAAACAGCACTAGCAGGAAATGTTTGGGAAATATGCTTTAAAAAACACAGTTCTGCTAAGGTGTTCTTTTTATTCCTGGTTTATACAGAGGCTTGGGATTCACAAAGAATGAATGTGTTGTTGGTAGGAGCAAGTTAGGCAGCAGTTTGTTTTGGAGCTTGCTTTCCTTGTCATCACTGAGGGCAGGACTGATCTGGGTGTTGGGGGGTCACTTGTGGTCCTACAGTAAGAAAAGGCTTTGCAGTCAATTATATTTTATATTCTAGCTCCTCTTGAAGCCAAGGGTCCAAGCTGGAATCTTTGCCTCTGGAAAGCTCTGCTTTGACACCAGATACAGCTCCAGTGGAAATTATGGAGCTGATGCTGAAATTATTGGGTGAGGTTTTCTGGACTGAATTACACCAGATGACAAGGCTGAATGATGCTAAGTGTCCCTTTGGGTCATGAAGGCTAGGAATCTTCATGGATACCCCCAAATTTAAATTGGTCTGTGGGATTTTGTGGAAGTGTTGTCTGCTGCTGGCAATGGAGATGTTGGATGGTTCACATGTCAGATAAGGGTTGGGAAGGACAGTAGTGCTGGCACAAGGGTTTGCTCCATTCCCTGCTTCCATCCCAGGAATACAGCTGGAAAATGCCATTCTAAGAGGGAGATAACATCTTGGAAAGATCTGGACCAACATCCTGGTATCCAGCTACAGAATGATGTGCTGGTACAGGCAGAGGAAGGCAATGATTGGGAAGCAGATGAGGGGCTGGAGTTTCAGACCTGTGTTGCCAGCTGGACCAGTTGGGAAGCCAATTCCTGAGAGTGAGGGTGTTTATGGGGACAAGCCACAGGCCAAGACAATAAACAAAACAAAAAAAAACCACCAATAGCTGGTGTTTGGGGTACAGGGCACAGTGCCAGGCATCTGGAGGAGCCTGCTGAGACACGGCACTCACAGCATCATCCTGCCAGTGCCTGCTCCTGCATCCAATTAAACTGCTGGAGTGACCTGAAGAGGGAGCAAGGAGTGACTCAGGGCTTGGCTGGGATCCTGGGACCAACACTGCAATTCATCCATCAAAGTAAAACAAAGAAAACAAAGGCACTGGGATTTTTAATAGGTATTTAAAGTCTTGGATTTGGAACTAGTCAGTCACTGCTCCAGCCACAGGACTTGTATTAGTGTGTGGGAGAGAAATCCAGTCTGAGCATGAGATGCTGTGGGTTTGCACCTGGCTGGGAAGTTGTCCTTGTGTCTGGGAGCAGAAGCCTATTCCCAGTTCTCCTTGGGGGCTGCCAGGCTCCAGGCAGAGCAGTTTGTACCAGATGGACCCTGCAGCATCCTGGAGAAGTTCTCCTCCAGATTCCTGGATGGAAGCAGGCTCCAGCTTTGATTCACACTGACCCTGGTGCAGTCAACAAGAGCATCAGCCGTTGTGACAGACTGTGCCCAACATGAGATCCTCCAGCAGCTCCAAGCAGTGGAAAGTGCCAAATGCTCCAGTGTTATTACACACTGTTGTACACTAAAGCAGGGCTGTGTTCAGCTCATTCAGGATATTTTTATCCTTCTTCACATGCTTCATCACAGTCCTTTGCAAAGCCCCACACTGATCTGGGGCACAGTACCTGGGTGAGCACCATGCCCAACCCATGACCATGTAGGCACACTTGGACACTTTGAAGGAACTGACCAGATCTGGGTGCCAGGGCAGTTTGGTGGGTCAGAGTTGCTCATGTGTCAGTCTGGAGAACTGGAGGAGAAATGAGGAAATACTTCTCACATCAGCTGTTTCACAGCCATGCTCTCCCAGCAAAGGAGCTACAGGTGACATTACTGGGGTGACATTACTTTGAGTGGGTCAGAGACACCAGAGCAGTGCTCCAGCAGCTCCCACTGCTGAAACAGAGCTTCCAAGAGCTGGAGGTGAAGCAGCAATCCCAGTGATGGTGCTGTTGGTGCAGCTCAGAGCTGCTCAGGGCACCTCCTGTGCAGCTCCTGCCACCTCAGCCTGGCCACTGCACTGGGCATAGAGCACTGGAATTTTCCTCTGAGGAGAAGTGACCTTCAGCTGAGGTGGCTCAGAGCCTGCTATCAGGATTAGCTGGGAGGGAGGTTTAGCGGCAAGAAGCTTTTGTCCTGCTGTGAGGCTTTGGGTCTGTAAGGGCAGCTGTGCCAAGTGTTGAGCAGCCTCGTGATGCCATTACAAAGGTTACAGGGGCTGATGTCTGCACAAAAGGATCTGCAGCAAGCAGCCATGCTGCAGGACACACGGTCTCCCACAGAAGTCTGCCGCTGACTCCAGGGTTTTTCCAAAGTGATGTCCTGTGTTCCCTGAGTTGTTAGAGATGCAAGGTGAACTCAGCACCTTGGCTGCAAGGGCGCCGAGGCAAAGTCAGTGGTGGAGATGTTGTGGAGTCAACAGGACAGGGCTTGGAGAAGCAAGGAAAAGCAGAGGATGGCAAACCCTGGAGTCCTCCAAGAATAGCAGTTAGTGTGTCAAAAGTACATGATACCACAAGTAGTGTTGTGATGGGGTCAGGAGCACTGTGAGGGATGTGAAGAAGGCCATGGCAGGCAGGAGCAGTGATGCTTTAGCTCCCGTTCCTCCAGGACTCTCTGGCAAGAAGTGTCTGGAGGGCCCCATCCACAGCCAGCAGATCTGGGCTTCCTGTGACCTGAGCGACCTGGGGGAGCATCCTCCTCATACCCCACTGTCCCCTGCAGTCATGATCAGCTTTGTCTTTCCTGTACCTGAAGCAGTGCAGTCCCCGTTCCCCTTGAGACACATTTCCTCTCCTGTGTTTGCAGGTTGCCTATGGGACCACAGAAAACAGCCCTGTCACCTTCATGGGGTTCCCCAATGACAGCATCGACCGAAAAACGGAGACAGTGGGATACATCTTTCCCCACACAGAGGTGACCATGACTTTTCCCATGTGCTCCAGGTGCTCTGCCGGCAGCAGACCTCACTCCATCCTTCTTGTCTGGTGCTGGTGTCTAACTAATCCCTTTTTCCCTTACAGGCAAAAATTGAGGATCCAGAAACAGGGAAATCTGTGCCTCTGAACACTCCTGGGGAGCTTCAGATCCGTGGCTACTGTGTCATGCTGGGCTACTGGAATGACCCTGCCAAGACAAGTGAAGTGATCACTGCTGAGAGGTGGTACAAGACAGGGTGAGCCTGAGAACAGCCCCACTTCTCCCAGATGGTCCCACAGAGTGACACTGGATGGGGATGCGTGGGTATTTACAGGAGTGCTTGGCTGGGATTTCCAAAGCAGAGAAAACTGTCCCAGTTTATCTCTCTGATCTGTCTGTGACACTTCAGAAGTGCTTTTAGCACAGAGCCCTTGGTGCTGAGTGTCCCTGGAGAGGGGGATTGGCCACTTGTGCCTGGTGGGATTGTGGAGGTACAGGGCAGGGGCAGGCATTGCCTCCCCCCTAAACCCTGGTGCTTGTGTGGATACTGCCAGCTTCTGTAACAGCAGCTCTTTGATCTCTTCCATGTGTTCAGGTGGCATCTCAGCCTTTATCCTCTGATGCCACCCTGCATGGGTGGGAACACCAGCCATCCTTCCACCCAGCTGGGACAGGACTAGAAGGCTGTTGTCATTGCAGGGACATTGGGAGCCTGGATGAGCATGGCTACTGCAAAATTGTAGGACGTTGCAAGGACATGATTATTCGGGGAGGAGAGAACATCTATCCAGCAGAACTTGAGCAGTTCCTCCACACCCATCCCAAGGTTGAGGAGGTCCAGGTGAGTGGGAGGAGGTAGGGTGGGTGAGCAGCTATCTTTGGGAATCCTGTACATAAAGTTTCTGGGACTGCTGTTTGGAACCTGGTTGTCTTTCCCTGTTTTCAGCATCAAATTCCATTTAATACTGGTTAGCAAGGAGGAGGGAGAAGCATGGGATGGAAGGGGCAGGCAGAGCTTCTAGCATGAGGCATATGGATTGTGGCAATCCCCATGTGTTCCAGCTGCACATCTGCAAACTGCCTGTCCACTTTCACAGCTCCCTCTGAAATTCTTACTCAGAAAGCAGCCTGGAAGGACAGTTTTTACTGATAATTGCTCAACTCTGACATCCAGGAAGACTCTTTCAACAAGTCCCAGGAGATGAGGAGTGAAACTTTCACTCCTTCGCAAGACCGCAAAGATTTCCAGGACTAAGCAGCTGCTCCCCGTCTGCTGGGATTGTTCTCTTCCAGGTTTTGTGCCAGACAAGTTTCCCCCATAAATAAACTGGTTATTTAGTCAGAGATAAATAACTCTGGCCTCCTGTGCCAGGCAGGAATCTCTCCTTGGAACAGTCCCAGTGCAGATGGGTTGCACACCAGTCCTTTTTATGTGGTTTCTAAGGCTTTATGTCATTGCTCTGGACTCAAAAGGATCAACGTGTCTCTACCAGTTTGAGATACTGGTTCAAGGCAGGGAATGACAGTAGGATTCTTGTGGAATAGTGGGAGCAAGCTTTGGACAGAGCTCAGGCTTTGGAAACCCATTTCCTGGTGTCACAGGCAGTGGCCCACTAAGATCTGTGATTATAAGGGTTTTAAATAATCCTTTAATTCAACCTCATTCCTTCCCTGCCGTTCCATCTGGAGATCCCAAAACACTGGTGTCAGTCTACCAAGTCTCCTTGATGTTTGTGAAACCTCTTGCCCCATTTTTTGGAAGCAGAGGGATGACAGGTCCATGTTGCATCCACAATGCTCCAGCACCCTGTGGTATGGGGTCAGGGAACATGCCATGGGCCAGCACACAGATCCTGTGGGAGGCCAGGGACATCCCCAAGGGTCACACTGTCCATCTGTCCCAACCAGGTGGTTGGTGTGAAGGATTCGAGGATGGGAGAAGAGATCTGTGCCTGCATCCGACTGCGGGCTGGGCAGGACTGCACCGAGGAAGAGATTAAAGCTTTCTGCAAAGGGAAGGTGGGTTCTCAGTCCTCAGTTTCCTTCCAGACCACTACACCTAGTGGCTGCTGGGGACTGGTGGACAAAAGCCCATGGATTTACAGCGCTGGGGGACCCAGCCTGACAGTGCCAGGCTGTTCCTTTCAGGTTGTGTAGCCCTAGTTTTTCTCCTTCCAGATCTCGCATTTCAAGATCCCGCATTATGTTGTGTTTGTGAGGCAGTACCCACTCACTGTCTCAGGCAAGGTAAGAGGGGGCTGGGGCAGGGCAGGAACCCTGGAATTCTGTCCCAGCTCCTCTCGGAGTCTCTCTCTCCCTCCTCTCTGCCCTCTATTCCAGATTCAGAAATACATGTTGAGAGAGCAGATGGAGAAGCACCTGCGGCTCTGAGATTCGGAAGGCAGAGCAAAATCCAGGATAAATCAGCCCCATTTCATTCAGCTCTGAGTCTGCTTTTCCCCTTTGCCTTGGGCTAAGCAGTGGAGACTTTCCTCCTGACATCAGGCTGATGGCACTTTTAGTCAATAAAACAAAGCGCCTTTTTTCCCATTTGGGCTTGTTTCTTTGCCAACAGAAATACTGGTGTGAGGTGATGTGAGGAAGGGATGCTTATTTCTGGAATTCTCTCCAGTTGCTGAAAGACCTTATGAAGGTTTAAATATTTTCTGTGTCTCTGAGCAGTTTGGCTGCAGCCATTTCACAGGAGTTGAACAGATGCTGGTGGGTATTTTACTGACACTCTTAAGTCCAAATGCCCTGGCCTGGCTTCCCACGGTAGGTGATGCCTTTTTATCTTGGATGTTGTGAGACTGCTGGGTCATTTAAGAGTTACTGAACTTGAAATGAGGGGCAGGGAGTTCAGAGAATGAGACTTTGCATTGGGGCTCCCTAAAACTGGCTGGAAAAGCTCACTCTGTTCCCATACCTCCCCCAGGTGTTTCCCCAAAAAAAAACATTCTGCAAGACAGACATGGCTTTGTTTATTTTGTTGTTTTGGACAAGACAGACAGTAAGGTTGTTGCAGAAATACCAAAATTCCTGTCCCATTGGCAGAGTGAAGCACAGCATACCAGCATTTTTCAGGAGTTATTTGGTACATCCCAACCATGACACACTCCTGTGAGAAGAGGGACAGCAGAGCTCCTGTTTGCCAGCAGAAGCATCTCAGCACAGCTGGAAAGCAGATCATGCTGCTGCCAACTCTTGCTGACCTCCCATTGTCTCCCTCCTGCTTCCTTTCAGAGCAAAGGCTGGGCCCTCTCCATGCTGTGGCTTTCTCCAGTGGGTGGAGGGCAATGGTGTGACAGGGAGAGAGGAGAAGCATCAGTGAGGTCTCAATCCTTCATCTTGCAGCTGGACTCCAGGCTCTATCCATGGAAGCAGATGGTGGGGGCAAGTCCCCTGTCCACATCTGCACTCTGAAAGAAAAAAACGTGGATGGTTTGTGTCAGACTCCTTCTGCAGTGTCTTTCCAACAAGTTCCTATCCTGTTCCCACACTACTCGAGGGGCTGGTTTCAGGACTGATCCTTCCACATTTCACTCAGGTCTCCTCCCTCCCCTGGTTCCCTCCCTTCCTTCCCGAGGGAAGAAGTGTTACCTGCATGACAGCAAATGTAGCCAGGGACCTTGGGGACACAGAGGCCCTCTGTGTCTGATGCCTAGGGAAGGACTGTTTACCTTCTTTTGCTTCCCACAGCACTAACCCAGGTGCAGGACAGGCCTGCAGTGAGTGGAGCTTCTCCTCCCCTCCCTGATTGGTACCTCCACCCTTGGCACAACCCCTGCTCTGCCACAGGTGCCCCACTGTAGATGGGGGGCAGTGGATAAGAAATGAATGACACCAGGCTTGGCTGGTGAGGACAGACACACAGCTGAGAAAACCAGTGAGTCCTGGTCACAGCCAGCACAGGGGGAACAGGAACAGTCCCTGCCACCCCACTCCTGCTCCTGTCCTGGGAGTGGGGCAGCACCACCCATGGGTCTGAGCCCTGGCAGACTCTGGTCCCAGGGAAGCTTTCCCTACCATCCCATGCCTTTCCCAGAGCATATCCAGCCCTCGTCAGCCAGGACACCTCCCGTGGTGCCTCCTGCCCCTTCCCAACCCCTGGGATGATGAATCGGCGGCTGTAAATACTCACGGAAGAGGAAAAGCTGGCCCCTGTGGCTGGCAGTGCGGTCTCGGTGCGTGCAGTGCTCCAGGCTCGCTCCATGGCTTCTGCCCTGCCCGTGCCTGAGTCCCACTCTTACAATCCTCGCTGCCTGCTCGGAAGCTCCCCGGAGTGGGAAGGTTACATCAGTGATGAGTTATGCCGAACTCTGCGTTTCTGGCCTGGCAACAGGAATCTGCACTCACAGCCTTTGTCACGGGCATTTCAGAGCTTCTCGTGACTATTAATAGAGACTACTTCACCAGCTGCGGGTTTGCACAGCCCTGAGTGGGGAAATGCTACCTTCCTCCGCCGAAACACTGGGAAACGCTTCCCGGTCCCGCCAAGCAGCCGGGGAAGGATGCGGGGGCAGGTCCGAAACCTCGTTCGGACCGTGCGTCTGGGGAGGACACCGGGGGAGGACACCGGCCCTGGCATTCCGGCACCGGGAGAGGACATTGAGCATCCCCGTCGTTGACAGCGAGCATTCCCCGGCCAGCCCCGTCGGGAGCTGCCCCCGCTCCCTCCCGCGGGCGCTGCTCCCCGCCCAGCCCCGCGCTCG